AACCGGGATATGTATGCGTCGATGTTGGAGTTTTGAACTGTGAGGTTCCACAACTCTTGTTCCATCTTTTGAATCTCACCTCTAGGACGGTATTCCGCTAACAACATCTCCTTCAGTTCTTCCCAGGGCATCGCGTTTGCCACCGGGAGTGTCATGGCCTCTACGTGGCCAATCCACCAGGAGAGAGCTTGGTCAATGAACGTGCAGGCTGCGAACTTGACCTTACACTCATCCGGACATCCGCTGATTTCGAAGACGGATTCTACCTTCTCGATCCATCTCTTCAGAGCTATTACGCCTCCGGTCCCATTAAAGGTCCGAGGTTTGGCGTTGGCGAAATCTTTGTAGGTGCATGCTCGTGCGGCTCCGTGGTTTGTCCCTTGATTGTTGCTTCCGGCTCCTTGCCCGTTGCCTTCTCCATTGTTTCCATTACGAATCTGCGCAAGTGCTGCAGTGACTGCAGCGGACACTGCTACCTGGAATGCAGCCGAGTTTATCTCAGGTGGGGTCGGTGTTGCGTTGTTTCCACGGTTGGGTCTTTGAGGCATCTTTCTGTCATGGAATGCAAAGATGTTGAGTGCCTATCATTTTGTGTGTTTGTGATCCTATAGACTAGGGGTATAGTGTGTGTATTTATGCACTTTCATGCATTAACATTAAAACAAGGAAAATAAAGCACATAGCAGGCGACAAGTCATGATAAAACATAGAGCATTTTCATTAATACTAAAAAATTTTGATTCATGAAAATTTGCCAGAAGGCATACAGTGCATAAGGAAAATAAAATCCGGCAGCATAACGGCTCTATGAGTACTGTGATCACTTAAACATAGAGTCGGTGGTAAATAGCATAGTACGCCTAAGAGAAACCTAATACGAACGATAGCTACTGCTGGTCCTAGTCATGGTGGGATGTGCCAGGGGAAAAACATAATATTAGTAGGAGATACGGCTTGTTCCTCATACGGTGAGACCTATACGGCAAGTAATAGAGCAAGTCCTATCAGTAGAGATGACGATGATACTCAATCGTCGAGCTGACGTATCAGGAGTTCAGCCAGTTCATCCGCCTCTTGGGTGATTACCTCTACCCTTCGCTCGGCTCGCACAACCCTTGCTTTGGCCGTAAAAAATTGAAGCTTGAGGCTGATAATTGCTTCCTCGAGAGAGCGTAGATAGTCTGTATCACCCTTCTGGACAGGGCGGGGATTGGATGGGACTTTCGATAGGTCGGGTTCGCTACGTGTCTCCTCTACGTCCTTTCCTTCATCTAACTCCTGGTCAGATTCGACATATTCGTAATCAGTTACCACATATTCTTCCTGTTCCACAGCGGGTCCAACATCATGGGCTCTCGCTGGCCTTTCTTCGGGATCCTCCTCAAGCATCCCTTGAGCCACTAGCGCTTGGTGGAAAGGCGCCCCTTGCTGATCATCATCCATGGTGACTGCACGGGGGCACGGGAACAAGTCATGTTTTGATTATTCCTATAGTATATTTTTTAGTTATTTAAGTTTTGGCTTCCCTAGATTTTTTGGAGAGTAAGGTAGTCTTTTGGATTTATTTCCTGCTATGATTACTCCCGGACACATGTTGGTCATATTATGAATAAATATAGTTGATCAGGCTATATTTATCCCTAATACGACTACATAACTGGCCAGGTTTAATCATAGTGTTCAATTTCTTCCAGAAGCTTTTATTAGATGTTGTTAGATTATTATCCTAGTATGCGCACATAAGTGTGAGACTTTTGTTTTGTTCAGAGTTATTTAGTCCCATTGTGTTTTTAGTTGCATATCATGTATGGTTAGATATGCTAGTTCGCTATAAACATTGCTCTGATACCAACCTGTCACACCCCCGAACCAGACGGCGGAAACGTCCGGGGGCTAGTGTGACTAACAATTGAATAATCATCACAATGAATATACATGAATCATAACACGATCATCACCAACATTACATAATACAACTGGCATTGTTTACATCAAGTACATTGTTAAAATACATAAGTTCAAATTGTTCAAAGTACGATAAGTGATGTTACATAAACAAAACCATACACTTGCATATCTTCCAGCTTATCGATTACCTGAGAATACAAGTTATTTTGAAAACGGTCAACATATATAATGTTGGTGAGTTCATAAGTATGTTTGAGTAAAAGTCTTTGTATCTTTTATGAAAACCCAGAAAATCCGATATTTTCTGTAAAATGTCTGAAAATGATGTGAAAATCGAGTATAAATGCATGTGTGAATTTTATAGATAAAACTTGTAAGAGTGTAGTTTAGATTCATTGTATTTTGAATAAATGATAATTGTATATGAATAATTTCCCCAGAAAATCCGATATTTTCTGTTTTATAACAACGTCTAAATTCTTGTATCGTTAAAGAGTTTATCTTCAAAAGAGTTTATCTTCAAAAGGTTATCTTTTGGTATTGAATCCCTATATGATCTGTTATAACCATGCATGATAACGACTAGGTCACCCGTCTTGGTATTTTTCCAAATGCCGGTCTTGCTAAGGACGTTGGCGCCCTAGAGTGGCCTAGTCTAGCTGTAGCGAGCAGCTAAGGCATGAGGGGTCATCCCGTATAGATCTATACACAAACTCCCGCTTTCCTACCAAGAAACTCTGATTATAACTACATGCTACGATTGTACACTCAGTGGTGCCAACCGACAAGTATCACTAGATTCACAACCTCTTTTTGTACTGTTTAATGTTTAGTATATGTAATATGTTTTTGTATTCGAACGGTACATGATTAAATTTACGAAGTTTGATGATTACATAAGGGTATCGTTATCGCTTACTAACACATGAAATTTCCATTCCAAGCCCTATTAGTATGTAACTAGGCCACAAAGGCCCGATCACATGTAAAAGGGTAATTTAGGCCCAATAGGCATGTAAATGGGCCACAAGACCCAATAAACATGTCATGGAAAACATTGGGCTCATTTCACATTTAATTGGGCCCTTAGGGCCCAATGGCCAAAAAATGTGAATATTGGGCCCAATAAATAGTTTTTGACGTATTTCGTTCGTTCGTTTGATTCGGTTGTTTATTTTAGTTCAAGGCTTAATAGTTTGATGATAAAAAGCTTTCATATTGTAAAAATGACATTTTTGGCCAATAATACTCCAATCTTTAATTTAGGCCCAAAGTTTTGTAAAAATGACACTTTAGTCCATAATTTATAAAAATTTGTAATTTTGTCCCAAATGTCTAGAAACTTACGGTTTTGACCCAAAATGTTATGTTTTCACATTTAGAACCCTGTTTTGCAGAAAAATACATTTTCAGCCCCTTGTTTGTAAAAATTTACATTTTCGGCCCAATTTTGCAAAACTTTACATTTTTGGTCCAATTTGAAAATAAATGACATTTTCACCTCTAAATTTGGTTTATTTACATTTATGACTCAAACTTTGGCCAAATAACATTTTTAAACCACAAACCTCATTTTTTTCGCAAATTAGGCCCAAAGGCTGTAAGGCCCAAAAGTTTGGCCCAATAAGCTTAAATTTGCATTTTTGACCCCTTTAAAAGCATGATTAGCATAAAAATACCTTTCTATACATGTAGGACCTGTTTGGCCCTTTTGAAAACAGAATTTTCACTTTTTACCCTTATCTTTTGTTTTCTTAACAATTTTGACCTTTAACAAGGTTTTTGTTGAATTCTTTTGCATCTTAAACATGTGTTCACTTTTGGCTTGATAATATGATGTATATAGTATTGTAGTTCTTAGATCTTTGTTACATAATACTTAAAATTTCAAGATTCACTAAGATCTAACACATTTTTACCAAATAAACTAAGGATTCACACAAAACATGCATATAACACATAAATCTACACATTTTACTTGTATTCTCCCCCAAAAATCATATGAAAACCGAAAACAAGGGGGTATGAACTCACCTTTGCTTTGATGTTTTGGTTTTGAAGAGAATTGAAGAAGATTTTTGGTCCTAGCAAGCTTCCTTGAGTTGATTTTGAACTTAAGAAGTTTCTAAGGTGTTCATGGAGTAAAGCTTTGTAAGAAAGAGTTCGTGATGTTGAAATGAAAGAAGATGTTTGTGTTTGATAGCACTTACCAAATATTGAAAACACTTGATGAAGATCCTTGAATCCAAGCTAAATTTTCGAGATTCTTTGAAGGAAGGAAGAGGATGATCTTTGAGAGTGTTTAGAGGGTGTTTGGAAGAGTGTGTGTGTGTGTGTTGTGGCTCTCGGCCGAGAAGAAGAAGAGAGAGGGGAGAGAGAGATGGTGAAGTGACTAGCATGGATGTATGGTGGTTTAAAGCCTAGATGTATGTTGGATTATATGGAGGTGGCACTCCAAAGTCTAACCCCCCTTTAATCTCTTCTTTTCTTTTTCTTTTTTTTTTCTTTTATACATGGGCCGACATTTTGGGCCAAGAAGAAGTGATGGAGTAGTTTGGGCCCATTAACTTTAGCTAGGACATTTGGATCCTAATCATAAGGTTTTTCGGCCCATTGGGCTCTTGGAAGCATTCACGGCCCAATTAGAATAAAAGAATGGGCTTGTGGCTTACTAATGGTTAATTGGATTAGTTATGGCCCAATAAGGCCCATTAGGGTTAGAATGGATCATTCTAGACCCAAATGGTCCAAAATGTTTTAGATTTATGAATTGGGTCCAATTAGGATCCACAGCGAGAAAGCATTGATCGTTTGGATTAGAACTATGTTAAGTGGGCAGACCTAGATGAAGTAACCCTAGGCATGGTTGGCCTAAGTCCTCTTTGGAACATACTAGGTAAGAAACCGGTTGAAACTGTGGTCAGTCGATATGTAACTCTACTAGATCGCTTGCATAAGAAACGGTTACCAGATTCATCTGTGGTTGTCGAAGAGGTTGTTGAACCAGAATCCATTTCTCTCTCAGAATCGAGCATGGATTCCACTGTAAATCCTCCATCTTCAAAAGCTTTAGTACCACATACTTCTTTCTGATGAAGAAAAATGTGAAAGTGGAGTTAGGCAGCGGGAATCCTCCATCGTCCTCTACTAGGGTATCCGCTAAAGGCTTGTTAAAATGGAAAACTGGTTTGTAAAGAGTATTTTCCTCGAAGGGCGTTATGAATCGTAGGATCTGGTACCCAAGTTACCCCTACATCTGTTGAGTGTAATGACTACCCTGTGATCAGCGGCCCTGCACTTAAACATATCGAGGATAATATCCTCTTATCGGACTCCCACATTCCTTCTACAAAAGTTTTTCCCATTTCTTCAAGCCAAATGGAAGTCCCCCTGTCTCTACTGTTTCATCCAAGGGTCTGATTTTCACAGAGGTTTCTCGGTCTTTGTCCTGAGGTTTTATTACCTCTACTTTGTCTGCTACTAAGATTTTTCGCCAGAAGTTATTTGGGGCTGGACTTGGTCGTTTTCAGGAAACTACTGCAGAAGTTATTGTTGTGACTGTGAATCCTTTAAACTTGGAATCTATCAATCTGATACCCTTGGGTCTTCATTGATGCTTATAGACACTTCCTTTATTGAACCTTCTTCCGAATCGAATTCTTGTACGTCTAGCTTAGATCATAAGTGTCTTTCACTCTTTTTTTGTATATATGCCTGATTGTGAGCTAATTTATCAGGTCCTATACGTTTTTCTTTTTTCTTGTTTATTGGAGTGATCCCATCATCTAGTATGGAAGCTTCTATTCCTACTTTTTATAGTCTTTCCGCTTCGCTTCCTCTACTTCAATATCACTACCATTCCTAGAAGTCTTGAGCTGGTGAGTGCTTCTGATGAAGAAACCCTTGACAAAGCTCGTTCTCATCTTATGGAGGGTATGCATCTTTTTAATGAAGTGCCTACTCCCAACAAGGTCTGAATAGAGCTTCTTGCTCAAAGTTTGGTTAAGTTTGAAGAAAGCATTCGACAGTTAAAGGAAATTGGCAAGATTCATGAACGAACCGAACAGGAAGTACAAGAACTCCGAGAAAGGGTGAAAGGGCTTTCTGAGAGAAATTTTTTTCTTGTGAATGAACTGAGTGAAAGTATTCGCTGTCAAAATGAGCTGAAGAATTTGAATGAATATCTTCAGATCAAAGAAGACGATGCCATTGGTCATCGTTCGGTGCTCGCCAGCGAGTTAGAGGAGAAGAATCAAAAGATCGAGTCCCTAAAGCTTCAATTTACTCAGAAACTCTCTGAGTTGGAAATCTCCTGCTCTGATAAGGATGTGCATATTAAGATGCTAGAGGAAGAACTTGTTGTTCGGGAGGGGCACCTTGCTGATAGGGATGGTTAGATCCTTCAATTGAATCAGACCCAAACCTCCTTTCTTGAAAATGAATCTCCTTTGACCTCGACAGCTGAGATCAGAGCCTCCAAGCTTTGGTGGTTGGTGCAGGAGGGTATTCCCTCCTTCGTTCGTGCTTTACTAAACTCTACAAATTTTAGGGATCTCAATGTTGGAGTGAAGACAACAGCTATTCAACTTGGCCTTCATCAAGCATGTATGGAGATGAAGGAAAAATATGTTGATGCTTTGGAAGGGAAAATGTTCTTTAGTCGTACCCCGATGTGCAACATCAGGTGATAGACCGGTTTACAAGCATGGTAACCCACAACTATTCCTTGTTCGAATTTTTAGAAGGAGATGTTGTGAACCTCAGTCTTTTGAATGAGAAGTTGGGCACTTTGGATCCCCTTTCGAATCCTAATGGTGCTTCTAGCAGTATTTATTATGACGATTGTCATGCATCTTTTCCTTTTATTTTCACTTTGTCTTTTTTTTTTGTAATGTTATGTGGATATTTATGTGCCTGTGTTGGCTAAGCTATGTAACTGTTTAAAGTTTGCACTCAAAGTACATGCCTTCTATCTGCTTCAATTTTTGTGTATCGTTTAGTCTTTGGATTTGAAATAATTTTTAACTATGAAGAGTTAGACTCTATCCTTGTGGTATTACCTCCTAAGTGATAGGGTATGAACTTATCATTTAGATGGAACATATGCTTATCAGACATATGTTCGTGGTAAGTTTGATACCAGTTAGGCAGTTCTATTTCGTCTTCATAATCAATGTGCGGTCATGGTAATGACTCCCTTATTCCAAACTTTTTATCATGAGGCGATGCCAATAAATTACCTATTTATGGTTTAAGATATGTATGTACGTCATCGAGATATGATGTGGCGGATCATACTAATGTCAAAAATTTTACTAAACTATACCGAAGTATGATGTGGCGGATCACACCGATGTTGAAATTTATATTGACCTATAAGTTACAAACTTATAGTTATAGGAATATATGTACATCATCGAGGTATGATATGGCGGATCATACTGATGTTAAAATTTACATTGAACTATAAGTTACAGTTTGAGGTATATATGTACATCATCGAGGTATGATGTGGCAGATCATACCGCTGTTAAAATTTATACTGAACTATAAGTTACAAACTTATAGCTCGAGGTATATATGTACATCATCAAGGTATGATGTGGCGGATCATACCGATGTTAAAATTTATACTGAACTATAAGTTACAAACTTATAGTTCGAGGTATATATGTACATCATCGAGGTATGATGTGGCAGATCATACCGATGTTAAAATTTATATTGAGCTTGACCTTTGATACTAGCTCTAGGTTTATAGACTATATCATGCTCACCCAACTCAATTACCCATTTCGTCACGCAGCCTGACCGCTCTGACTCCATCAGGATCTGCTTCATGGGTTGATTCGTTAATACTAATATCAGGTGTACCTGAACTGTGATATCAAGATCTTTACACAGGGACAAGATTTAAGAACTCAAACCTTGAGTGAATGCTTGAGATCAATGTCTGCTTAATAATGGATGTTCAAGTCGAAACTGGAAAGACCAGTCAAGTCTTAGATAATCAATTCAACAAAATGATCAAGACATTAATTAAGAACAAGTGAATAGTGATCAAGGTAAAGTTAATAAATGAGGAACAAGAGGAATGTTTTAAATGTAATGAGAGTAAATGCCAAAAATGAGAGACAATATCCATAGTTGACTTGTATTGAATGCTCCTATTTAAAGGAGAGAATGTTACAGCGAATTAACCCAGATGTTTGCATAGGACCGGACAAAAGATACAATTCAGACATTTTGATTGTCCTAAATCAACATTAAACTAAGTCCTATGAAACGTTACATCAAAATACAAGACAAACGTAATAAATGCATATGAGACAAATAACTTCATTCTGGACAAGTTATGTACCGGAGATGAAGGTTTTGGTTCCGGATCGTTAAGCATTCCGGACTTCAGGATCAGTTCCGGAATGCGTTCTTCTTCCAAATTCTTCACTCACTTTCTTCAGCTCCGGACAGGTTCCAGATCACATCTAACTTCGGAACCATCAGCCTTCTGAATATGTACTTAGGATTGCTAGAGGTTCACTTTCAGGTTCCAACAATCTCCCCTAAGTGATCTTAGCAATCCATCAAGCTTAGTTCATTTCTTCCTTGATGAAGGTGTATGCTCGGAACAACCATTCTCGCACTGCAATGTACCAAGTCAGTTGACTTACAAACTTCGCTTTAACCTGTTCCGGAGCATAAGACTTGGACGCCCGTGAAATGAACTTTTGCAGAGCTTTGGTAGGAACCAGGTGTTTGTCAAGGACTAGGAAGAAGTCCTTTTTGTTTGTTCTCCTGGTGGTGTAGACAAACCCTAGAACCGGTTCTTCGATCGGACCATCTGTAATAATTTCAGCTTCCTGAAGAACAAAGTCAATTTTAGCTACAAATTGTTCGGTTCCGTAGAGGTGAGCAAGTTCGTAATCACATCTGCAAAACTCAGCAGCATAGTCTTTGAGAAAGCTGAGAGCAGAGTGATAGGCATCCATACTGATGTCATCCTTTTGGTTTTCTTTGAAGTACGCAGCAAGAGTGAGGATATCGTTCGGATTCATAGAGGGAAAATCCGTATCAGTAACAGTCCTTGGAGTTGGTTTGTTGTGGAGAAGATGGAAACGGAACAGAGGACAGTTCAGCTGAAATTTTACAAAATTTTTTCTTCCGAAGCCATGAACCTTAGTGATCCTCTTTCTTGTCCATACCTCCTTGAAGGGCAGAGCATTCTTGTCGTAAAAGGTTTTGAGTCTTTCACGTTCGGTCCGGATGATCACTTTCGGATCGTCGTTTGGGTGGAGTGGAGCAAACTTTTTGTAGAACTTGCTGAAGGGAGAGAGAGGAAGATCCAGTTGATCAGTGTCGTGTGAGGGAAGGTCATAGTAGAGAGTTGGGATGATATCCTTGGCTTGAAGAATGCCTTCACGACACAGGAGAAATGTCACGCATCGGATCAGGATGATCTTTCAATTCTTGAATCAAGATGCTATCCTCCAGTGCCTTTTGAATTTCTTCCTCAGACCATCCAAATTTTTGTTTAGGGGGAGGTCCGGAATGAAAGGCTTGTTGTTCCGAAGTCATTGGTTTCTTCCCTTTGTCTCTCTGAAGAGCTCCAATAACCATCTTCATGTTTTCGTCAATGACGAATTCCGGAGTAGGGGTTGGAAGAGGTTCTTCCGGAATGTCGTCTGGAGTGCGAAGAGGAGAGCCTTGATCAATTGGGGCTATTTTTGGTTCCGGAATTGGAGCAGGAGGTATCATGGAGGGAGTGGCTCGGAAGGCTTGGGCAGTAAGGAAGGATTTTGCCTTAGCCATTTTAATAGCCATTTCGAAAGCATCCGGAAGAGAGGATGGCCATGAGACGGCAGACCAAATCCTCTTCTGTTCTTCTATCAACACTTTCGGAGCAATCAGCTTTGGGGCTTGAAGACCAAGAATCCCTTTGGGAGCTTCATCCGGGATGTAGACATCATAGTCTTCATCTTCTTCGTTTCCTTCAGTAATGCCCAGGATTCGGGAGAAAACTTGGACATATTCTTCGGAATCGATGTCTTCATCCCGCAGTGTGAATTCCGAGGCTGGCTTCCATTTCCTGCTTGGGCCTTCTCCCCCTCTTGCATCGGTGACCCTGGAAACCGGTGCAAGCAATAAGTCCTCCTTGATGTCATCAAGTTTGGAGAACACCTTCTGAAGACCGGTGGAGAGTTGAAGAGTCAGGGTGTCATAGGCTTCAGAGGTGGGAGCTTGTGCGGATAGATGCTTGAAGGTGCTGCTAAGGATTTCAATCATCTCATCAAATTTCCTGTTCGGAACATCAACAATGTTCCAAGTTGAGCGCAGTAGTTTGATGAGGACTTGTTGGATGATCAGATTCATCTCATCCTTCTTCCGGATCTCCTTCTCTAAACGTTGAATTTGTTTCTCATGACGAACATGAGTCTGCTTGATTAGATCGTTGGTAGCAGACACAAGGTCGTCATGAACCTTGAGCATGGAAGAGATGGTATTGAGGTAGTTGTCGACCAGAGCATCATATTTGGAATCAATTTGTTCAACGGTATGTTTCAACCGGATGGAGATCAACTGGTCAAGATGGGCTTCTCTCTCTGCTGTGGATGGTCCGGATTGTTGTGAAAGAGACTGAAGGATGGCGTCAAGTTTTGAATCAAGTCCGGAGACTTTTTGATCCAGTTTCGAATTCAGCTCAGCGACAGAAGTCTCTACAGAGGACACTTTAGCCATAGTGTCAGAGACATTGGTGCGGATCTCCAGTAGGGCAAATGGGTCAATATGATCACCAGCGGAGGATTCGGAATCGGAGTCTGAATGTTGCGGAGGGGGCTGGTGAGTATCCGGAATTGAGGAAGGACCCGATTTAGCAGCATCATCGTCTTCTTGAAGTTTGGAGTTGGAGCCATCGTCCGGAGTGGAAGTAGAGGAGGTTCCGAAGTCAAAAGCGGACTTGGATACGGAGGCTTTAGACTGATAATGAATGGATGTCATGAGATGAGCATCCGGAACTTTTGTTGCTTCTTCCTCCAACATAACCTCTTCGGAAATCTCTTCTTCCGGATCAGTATGGAAGATGCTTTGGTGAATGACTATTGGGGGCAGTTCCGAAGTAAGTTCCTTGATGGCGTCATCGTCTGAGGGAAGAACATAGGGCATGTTGCTTTGAATAGCCCGGTTCCTCATGGAGATGAGAGTGGATTCAACTTGAGCTCGAGTCAGATCCGGACGCCTTGATGCTGCCCTGTTCACATAATCTTCCCACAAAGGGTCATTAGAACCTGGTCGTCCTGTACGCCTTCCGGGTATCAGACCAGTTGGGGCATCGGAAGTTGGAGGGACTGCTCCTTCTTTCGAATGCTTGGGTTCCGGAACAACGGTTCCGGAGTGTGTGCGTGTGGAAGAAATAATAGGATTATCAAGAGTGACACGTGGGTGTGTTCCAGGGGGCTGCAAGGAACTTTGTTCAACACCGACAACACCCTTTTGGGAGGGTGAGGGTGGAATATGTGTAGACTCCCCGTGAGTGTGTGCTTGTGATGATGAAACATTGAGGGGTACCTCAGATGAGTGGACAGGAGGGGTGTGCGGATGGCCAGAATCAACCGGAATGTTATGAGTGCCCTCCTGTTGAGAGGGGACACCGACTTTGGTTTTCTTTTTGGCCTTGGGCTTGGTAGGAGAG